TCGTTCATTCTCTCTGATTGAGTTTGATTGTCATGAGAATTAGAGGATAACTCAATTTTTGTGTGAACTTTTCTTGGGGGAATCAAAACTATCCTAGCACCTCCACCAGACATAGTGGAGGAACCATCAAAATACAATTCCCACTCTCTGTCTTCTGTGCTGATAGAGTATACTTCATGGAGCTCTCTTGGAATAGAATTAGGAATTACTTTTTCAAATTGAGATGGGAAATGTGCTAGTAAATCTGAAAGAGCTTGAGACTTGATCGCTTTAGGTTGCACAACCAAAATGTTAAACTCTCCAAGTAAGAGAAGCCACTTTGCTATCTTTCCAGATAAGGCTGGTCGAGAAAGCAAGAATTTGATTGGATTTGACTTGGTCACCACTTTAAGTTTGTGAGCCAAGAAGTAATGACGAAGTTTTTGAGTTGCGTACACTAGTGAAACAAAATATTTCTCCATTGGTGAGTAGTTCAATTCACTCCTATGCAAACATCTACTCAGGTACTACACAGGTTATTCTTGCCCTTCCACCTCTTGAACAAGTAGAGCACTAATTGAATGTGGGGTTAAGGTGAGGTATAGCTTCATTGGTTCCCCTTGGATTGGCATAGTCATTGTCTTTGGAGAAGTAAGAATACCTTTGATCTGTTCAAAAGCTTGTTGTTGTTGTTCGTTCCATGAAAATGGAACCCTTTCTTAAGAAGAGCTTAGAAGGGCATAATGATATCTCCTAAGGCTGGAATGAACTTCCGAATGTAAGAAACCCTTTCTAACAGGCTTTTGAGTTACTTCTAGTTTGATGGGGGTTGCATAGACTGAATAGCTTTTATCATTGTGGGGTTCACATCTATGCCTTTTCAATGCACCACAAAACCTAAAAACTTACCAGCTGCTAATCCAAAGGCACACTTTAAGGGATTCATGTGTAACTTGTATTTTCGACATCGCTCAAATACTCTTCTCAAGTCTCCAAGATGATCTGGATTTTTTTTTGACTTCACTATTATGTCATCCACGTAATCCTCCAAGCAATCATGCATGATGTCATGAAAAATTGCTATCATGGCACGTTGATAGGTTGCACCTGCATTCTTTAACCCAAATGGCATAACTGTATAGTAAAATTACCAAATGGGGTTCTGAAAGCTGTCTTCCCTGCATCACTAAGTGCCATCTTTATTTGATTATATCCA